TCCATTGGCACATAGAACTCCATGACCTACAGAAAATACTGGAAGGGTTTGGTGGGCATTGACCTTGAGTTTTGGACTTGTAGTTCACCTCCATCCAGAGATCACTGTGGACCCAAACAATGATGGATCTGGACCAAAATTGGCACGAATACTCAATATGCCCAAATGTGAACACTGGTGGAGTTTGGAGGAAATCGACATTTGAGAGCTGACGTGGCTGGGATTTATAGTTCACCTGGAATCAAAGAGCATTTTGAACTACACCAACTATGAAATTGAATCAAACTTGGCACACAGAACTCCCATGACCAACTGAAAATACTGGAAGGGTTTGGTGGGCATTGACATTCAGTTTGGGAGTTGTAGTTCACCTCCGTCCAGAGAGCACTGTGGACTCAAACAATGATGGATCTGGACCAAACTTGGCACGGATACTTAATATGCCCAAATGTGAACACTGGTGGAGTTTGGAGGAAATCGACATTTGGGAGCTGTCGTGGCTGGGATTTATAGTTCACCTGGAATCAAAGAGCATTTTGAACTACACCAACTATGAAATTGAATCAAACTTGGCACACAGAACTCCCATGACCAACTGAAAATACTGGAAGGGTTTGGTGGGCATTGACCTTGAGTTTGGGAGTTGTAGTTCACCTACATCCAGAGAGCACTGTGGACTCAAACAAGGATGGATCTGGTCCAAACTTGGCACAAATACTTAATATGCCCAAATGTGAACACTGGTGACATGCCGCATTATTACGGGGTGTCTGCGCCCTACACCACTGGAGAAATTACACTGTTTAGCCAGTATTGCACCACCTGACATCTGCCGGGAAGTAGCAGCCAATCGTGAAAGGACCAATGCAGAGACATCTCCAGCTCATCCCCTGTTTGGGTATCAGCCAGCACGTCAACAACTTAAATCTAGAAATAGTTTTCTAAGATCTACAGAGACACTCGCTGGAACACCTCAGCAAGCGGGAGTCCAAAAGTGGCAGGCTCAAACCCAGCACCAGATACCAGATGAGAGACTCCTCCCTGGGCACACAGAAGAGTGGGCGACTTGGAAGGCGCTGATCAGACTGCGCTCTGGCACCACGAGATGCCAATCTTAAGAAATGGGGCCACAAAGTGGAATCCACGACATGTGAGTGTGGAGAAGAGCAAACCACTGACCACCTGCTGCAATGCAACCTGAGCCCTGCCACATGCACAAGGGAGGACCTTCTTGTGGCAACACCAGAAGCACTCCAAGTGGCCAGATACTGGCCAAAGGACATTTAATCAACTACCAAACTCACAAATGTTGTATTTTGTCAGTTTGTTTGCTTTGTTCTGTTAGAAATGTAATATAACTGACTGGTTGCCCTGACACGACAAATAAAATACAAATAAATAAAGTAAAAAGCTGCAAAGAATTCATACCGTTAGGAGTCTATGGATAAAGTGCAAAACTGTGTTATTTCGATAATGTAGATGCTTCTGCCCTAGGCAAAAAGGACTCCTGTTACTCAATACGTTTTTGCAATCTTACATATGGAAAAACCTTGCTGCGTAGGTGAGATGCCGAAGATGTTTCCAAAGGGAGAAAGAATTTCCAACTGATGCAACTTCGCTCATTACACGACGCAACACAACTTTCATTCCTGGGCTATAAATATCATTTCCTAATTGTTATATATCACAAAAAAACATGGGGAAAGTTTATTAAACTGCACAGATTTTGTTTTGGGATGGACATCACGCTATAGCCCATTTTGCTCTACTTTTTCCTAGAAGGAAGAAAAGAAGAAAGAAGGGAAAGAAGGAAGGGAAGGGCGAATGGAAGGCAGGAAGGAAGGAGACAAAGAAAGGAAATGATATGATAGGAAAGGAAGGAAGGAAGGAAAAAGAAAGGAAGGGAGGAAGAAAGGAAGGAGAGAAAGAAAGGAAAGGAAGTTAAAAAGAAGGATAGAAAGGAAGGAAAGGAAAGAAAGGAAAAAAGAAGGAAAGGAGGTAGGGAAGGAAGGAAATATGGAAGGGAGGAGAGAAAGGAAGGGAAGGAAAGGAAGGAAGGGAAGGAAAAAAGGAGGAAATGAAGGAAGGTAGGAAGGAAGGAAAGATGGAAGGAAGGAAAGAAAGAAAGGAAAGGAACGGATAGGAAAGGAAAGAAGGCAAAAGAAGGAAAGGAAAAAGGGAAGGAAGGAAGGAAGGAAGGAAGGAAGGAAGGAAGGAAGGAAGGAAGGAAGGGGAAGGGAAGGAATGGATAGGATAGGAAAGGAAAGGAAAAAGAAGGGAATGAAGGAAAAAGAGAAAGATACGATATGATAGGAGGAAGGAAGGAAGGAAGGGGAAGGAAGGAATGGCTAGGATAGGAAAGGAAACGAAAGGAAAGGAAAGGAAAAAGAAGGGAAGGAAGGAAGAAGAGAAAGATAGGATATGATAGGAAGGAAGGAAGGAAGTAGGGAGGGAGGGAGAGAAATAAAAAGGAAAGAAAAGGAAGGAACAAAGAAGGAAAGAGAAAGGAAGGAGGGAGGAAGGAGAAAGAAGAAGGAAAAGAAGGAAAGGAAGGAAGGAAAAGAAGAAGGAAGGAGAGAAAGGAAGGAAAGGAAAGAAGGAAGGAAAGAAGAAAGAAGAAAGAAAAAAGAAGGAAAGGAAAGGAAGGAAGAAAAAGTTTCTGGAGTATAAGAGCTACTTTCAAAGTAAGGACCGCACCTTTAAACAGGAAGGAACACTTCCAAACCAGGAACACAACCTTTCTTTCTCAAATTTTGTTACATAATGATTTGATGCATGCAAAAACCTGGCTCATGCTGCTATGGAATCGTACGATTCCGTGCAAGCAATCGAACCAATCTCAACACTTCCTTAATCAATGTGATTGCAAAGTCTGGAAGGAAACGCTTTCTTTTCTTTCCCTACTCCCCCCCTTCCTGTCCTTTCCTTTCCTTTCTTTCTCTCCTTCCTTCCTTCTTTCATTCCTTCTCCTTTCCTTCCTTCCTCTTCTTCCTTTCCTTTTTTCTTCCTTTCCTTTCCTTTTTCTCCTTTCTTTCTCTTCTTCCTCCCTTCCTTTCTTTTCCTTTCCGATCCTTTCCCTTCTTTGTCTCTTTCCTTTCCTTTCCTTTCTTTTCCCTTCCTTCCCTTTCTTTCTCTCCTTCCTTCCTTCCTTCCTTCCTTCCTTCTTTCCTTCCTTCCTTCCTTCCTTCCTCCCTTTCTTTTTTCTTCCTTCCTTCCTTTCCTATCATATCCTTTCCTTTCTTTGTCTCTTTCCTTTCCTTTCTCTCCTTCCTTCCTATTTTCTCCTTTCCTTCTTTCTTCCTTTCTCTCCTTCGTTTTCCTTTCCTTCCTTCCTTCCTTTCCTTTTTTCTTTCCTTCCCTTTCTTTCTTTCCTTCCTCCCTTCCTTTCTTTTTTCTTCCTTTCCTTTCCTATCATATTCTTTCCTTTCTTTGTCTCTTTCCTTTCCTTTTCTTTCTCTCCTTCCTTCCTATCTTTTTCCTTTCCTTCTTTCTTCCTTTATCTCCTTCCTTCCTTCTTTCATTCCTTTCCTTCCTTTCTCTCCTTCCTTCCCTTTTTTCTTTCCTTCCCTTTCTTTCTCTCCTTCCTCCCTTCCTTTCTTTTTTCTTCCTTTCCTTTCCTATCATATTCTTTCCTTTCTTCCTTCCTTCCTTCCTTCCTCCCTTTCTTTTTTCTTCCTTCCTTCCTTTCCTATCATATCCTTTCCTTTCTTTGTCTCTTTCCTTTCCTTTCTCTCCTTCCTTCCTATTTTCTCCTTTCCTTCTTTCTTCCTTTCTCTCCTTCGTTTTCCTTTCCTTCCTTCCTTCCTT